CTTTTACGATCATGTATTTTCTTGTGCATAAAATAAATTATTATTTATAATATCATATTAAAATTCATTTCAAATTGATTCATGAGATTTCTTGTGCATAAAATAAATTATTATTTATAATATCATATTAAAATACATTTCAAATTGATTCATGAAAAATTTTATTTAAATGTTTTAAAAAACACATTTGTAATGATATTAGCTCAAATTTAAAATGGGATGAAATAAACAGATCAAATGAGTTAATATAATAAAATAAGCGGATTATTAACTTATCCAAACATAAATGAATTAGATCGATCATGAATATTTGGACTTATTTTGCCCACCCCTATCAAAGAGTGATTTGCCTGACTCGTGAGTTAGCAGTAGGTGTTCAACATTTGATATAACATTTTAAAATTTAATTTGCAAATTATGTATCAATATGTATAGATACAAAACAAAAATAATCTTTAGCGACAATTATTTAAGGATAATAGCTTAATTACTGTTAAATGTGTATTTTAGCGGCAATCACTACTTCTTGATGTTACATTTTCACGAATGGTAGCTACTTTCCAGGAAAGTCCAAGCGTAAATCTCTTGATGTTACATATTCTCATCATTTGCGCGTTGAGATTTGTTATGTCTTTATTAATTTGCATCTTCAAGAGCTTAATAACTGTTTTAATGTTGTGAGTAGTGACTTACTTCTTGGCATGACTAGCTTGAATCCAGTTAGTTCATTTGGTGGTTTTGATAAGACCAGGATAATTTGGTTGACTGAGTATTATATGAATGAGTTTGATAACAATTAGCTTCGAGATCTCAGTTGTCAGTTTGATAATTTTATAGTTTATGCTCGTAATTCTGACAAGAAGTTCTTCAACTTGAAGGAAATTAGTGACTTTGCTTAAGTATTGGTGAAGTCAACTATGCATCAAACTTGGCTACTTGTTTATTTGCTTATCAAGTTGACTCTCATTCTTCGTGTGGCAACTGTTTCTGTGGAACGAGCTTTTTCATCCATGAAGTACATCAAAAATGAACTTCGTAATAATATAGGTGATGAATTTTTGAATTGTTGTGTAGTGCTCATTTCTTTAACATAAAATAAATTAGGGTGCTTGCAAGAGTGAATTATTAGTTGTAATTGGTAAGAGAAGCTAGGAAAATTTGGACTTCATTTCTTAGTTTTTCTAAGAAATGAAGAGTTTTTAACTATAACGTTTAAATAGTTGTACACTTATACAGTTATACAATGCGATTTATAGTAATTTTATAATAAGAGAAGTGAACACCCACGAACTTAAGATCATGTATCCGTCACTGGTTGAACTTAATAACATTTGCTCAAACAATATAATTGTAATTAAAAATATTAAATTTAGAGATCTAGTTATTATATTTAAAATAGTTATTTTAAAACCTAGAGTTTATAAGATTAAAATTTTAACTCCGTCAATAATGTCAATTGACAATTAATGCTTCCATTTCTGTGGACCTTGCAAGGTTCACCTACCACGTGAATTCATGGATGCTCTTTCTAGTTTCTTGCACATGGCTGGTGGCTATCGATGGAAAATGACATAATCTCTGAGAAAAAATAAATATTTTCTAAAACAAAAATTTGTTTGGTGTCTGATATTCGTATTGAAATTTTATTTTTTTGAATTTGTACTGCATAGGACCTCCTTTGGAAAGAAACGATTTCTATCAAGAATTTTTTTCATACTCAGGTCTCGAACATAAAACTTCTAGTTATAGGAGTTGCAGCCTCATCTACTGTTCGACATCCGTTGATTGTCTGATCACAAAATGTTTTTCTTATCTGGTGGTGTCTGATACTTGTATTGGAGCTCGATTAATTTTAATTTGTACCATATAGGGCCTCATTTGAAGAGAAATTCTCTCTATCAAAAAAAAATTCATACTCAATACAAGGGGTGTACATGGCCGAGTTGATTCGGGTTTTTCAAATATCAAACCAAACCATTTGTGTCGGATTTTTAAATTTATAAACCAAACCAAACCAATAAAACTCGAGTTTTTCAACCTCAGGTTTTCTCGGATTTTTTGGTTTTTCGGGTTGTTTTGAGTTTTTCCGGTAAAGTATTCATACAAACATATAATTTACTAGTACTTCAAATATTTCTTTAGTCCTACCAAAATACAACTATCTAAGGTGTTTCTTAAGAAAATAACACAAAATATGATATGAGTAATGACACTAAAATATCCAACAAAAATAATAATAATGAAATCGCGTAAAACAAATATTGCAAATTAACAAGTCATAATGAAAATGATCATAATTTAAAAGTACTAAATCATGCTAAAATTAAGTTTAATAAGTATTAGTTACATGACTAAAGTCTAAATATTAAAGGAAATTAAAATTAGATTATGTATTTGAATTGTCTAAACCAATGTAAAATATTGGCCCATTCATAATTCTAAGTTTCAAACTTGAAATAATATATTAAAAGATAAAAACTATGAAAAAGTATAAGAAATATTTAAAAATTATACCAAAGTAAATATTTTTATGTATAAAATAAAATTTTAAAATTATATATATAATGTTGGCTTGGTTTTTTTTAGTTAAAACCAAACCAACCCAAATATAGTCGATTTTTTTTTTTCAAAACCAAACCAAGTCAAACCAAACTACTAGTCGGAGTTTTTTTTTCCGGTTGACTCAATTTACGGTTTGGTTCAATTTTCGATTCGATTTTGTACACTCCTACTCAATACTAGTACTCGAAAATGAAATTTAACTTGCCCCACGTCCTTGATGGTCTGACAAAATGTTTTCATTCCTATTTAAACAAAAAAAACACTTGTAAGAAATTATTTACTCACACAGGATTTTTGTGATTATCTTTTTTTTTTATTTCATAATTGTTTAATAAAGTTTTGAAGAACAATTACTTACTATAGTTTATCTGTTTCATTTTGTATGATATTATTATTTTTCCCTTTTTATATCTTTTAAAAGTTATTTCATTTTAAAATTCTTTTTCTTTTTAATGATATAAGTTTATACTAGTTATATTTGTAATGTCATGATAAATTTAAAATCATAAATTCTATAAACCAAATCTTAAATTCTATTTCTAATTAAAAACATTTCACATTAAAGGTATAAACCTTCTTCAAAGCAAAAAAGACGAGCATCATGTACTAAATTTTAAATTCGAGTTTTATATTTATTGTTTTTCCAAATGAGCTTAAGTTTTTTTTCTTACACAATGCAAATTTATATTAATCGATGCTCCAACACAAATATCATTTACCGTAGAAACAACCAAATCAAGAGTTCGGAGTCAAAAGAGTCATTTTTTAAGAAAAATAATAAGTACTCCCTCCGTCCCATTTTATGTGGCAACATTTGACCGGGCACGGAGTTTAAGAAATAAATGAAGACTTTGAAATGTTTACCAAATTGCCCTTTAAAAAGTAGACTCACTTTTCTCTCTCCTCATAAATGTATTGGAGTATTATTTTAAGATTAAGTGGGACCAACAAGGGTAAAAGAGGAATTGCACCTTTAAATACTTACCATATAAGGAAAGTGACATTCTTTTTGGGACTGACCAAAAAGGAAATGTTGCCACATAAAATGGGACGGAGGGAGTAATACTAAAATGGACAATTTATTTGAAAAAGAAAATATCAAAACAAACCCCTTTATCTGATGGCTTGACCAAACGGCCATTTGACTTCTTTTTTTCTAGAATTGTAAAATTAGTATTCTAGTAGTAATATTAATAAAACCAATGACTTTTAATATATTTTTATGTTTTAATAATTTTTGTTCGTTTGGTACTGCACATTATTTTTTTAAGTTAAATTAGTCATGGAATTTTTCATACTATTACTCCCTATATGCATTTGGAAATATTCTTTTCACTTCTTTTGAATTTTTGTTTGGAATGGAATATAGTCATGAAGTTTATTTATTGCAATTTGCAGGTGATTCTGCTTGGACTATTTTTAATTATTTGTTTGACTTATACAGTACTTTTTTTTATGTAACTAGTCATTGTTAAATATTTGAAACTGTTGGTTATATTTTAGAATTTTATTTATTTTTAGATTCTTGATGATAATTCAATTTTTTATGGTATAGTTGAATTCTTTTAACATATATTTGAAAATTGATACACAAAATTTTAAAAAGTAAAATATACAATAGATATATTTACATTAGAAAAATGGAAACTGAAAACTGAAAAAATGTCAGTATTGGAAAGAGAAAAATAATGTCACGTTAAGATTTGACACACTTATTAAGAAAATAATTAATATAATTATTTAACCCAATATTTTTATTAATTAATAATTAATATTAGATATTAAAAAATAAATTAAGGGATAAATAATTATTACTAAGGCTAAAATATGAAATAAAATTAATTATAGTTTCTTAATACGTTAATAATAACAAATGAAAGTTATTTTTTAAAACAGTGAACAAGTAAAAATAGAAACATTTGACCAACACTCACCAACTATTGCCCATGACATACATACGTTTGTCGTGCTCCGACTTACCATTGTCGTGCTCATATGCGGAATTGCGGAACTAGTAAGGATTCAAAGGTTTTCCTCTAAACTTTTTTCTAATAAAAAAAAATATTATTTATATAAAGTTAAAAATATATTTTAGATATATGTAGAAATTATTGAATTCCTTCAAAAAAAAATTATGCATTTACTTTATAATATTTGAACCTTGTAATAAAAATTTCAATTCTACCATTGATCGTGCTAGTGCTTCCATCCACGACCTTATTCATTCCGCGAGGTGCCCTATAACTCCACAAACACACAAACTTATTGTGCTACTAAACTAAGTTAAGCAGACTCTTCACTTTTGATATTGAGTTTTCAAAAAATACTTTATTTTTAGAGAATCCAACATGCACATATCCAATATAGTGAGAGTGACTCTTTTGGAACTAAAAAAAACAAATTCATTTTAAAGTAATGCTGTGCCCCCTTTATATATGGTTGTCTGCTGTTTTTTTCCACTGCAAATCTAATTAGCCTGCCTCCAATAGCGATGCTGTTTTTCCAGTTTCTCAACTAATAATTACAGAGTGTGAAGTTTCTATTTTCTTCCACTAAGAAAATGGAAGAATCTTCTTCTTCTCTTCACTCTGTGAAAATAATGCACGGACGCAAATTACTCAACCGAATATTTTCATCTGTATACGGATTTGCCATTGTAGCTTTGTTCTACCACCATTTGTTCACATTCACCGCACTTCACCTGCGCGGCCGCCTGTCAATTTTCATGTTGATATCCGATTTCATTCTGGCATTCATGTGGTTCACATCACAGTCATTCTTCATGAACCCAGTTACTCGTCAACAGTTCCCTGAAAACCTCAAACAATGGGTGGACAATAAGGATTTTCCGGCGATTGACATATTCATATGTACGGCGGATCCGTCCAAGGAGCCGCCGTTGACTACTGTTAACACGGTTTTGTCTGTTTTGGCCTATGATTATCCGACGGAGAAGCTTTCCGCTTATGTATCGGATGACGGAGGATCGAAGCTCATTCTGTTTGCTCTAATGGAAGCGGCGGAATTTGCACGGAATTGGGTGCCTTATTGCCGGGAAAATAAGATCGAGCAGAGGTGCCCGGAGGAGTATTTCCGGCGAAACCATACTATAACTTCTCAATTTCAGATTATTGAGGTAATTAAAAGCATTATGATCAATTAATTTACTCTTATATATATCTTTATTACTTCTCCCGTTAATGTTGTGATTTTCGAAAGTTAATTTAATTAATTTGCAAAATTAAATTAGATTATGGTAATTCGATATTTTAAATAAAAAATTATACGAAAAGTATTGTAAATTACAATTTTTTTTATATTAATAATGTTAGTCAAAAATTTTATGATTTGACTCTAAAAAGAAAATTATAATAAATAAAAGTTGATGAAAATAATATTAGATAGAGTAATTATAACCATACACATCTATTATTCCTTTGGTCACAATTTACGTCAAGTGTTCGATTTTTTCACAAAATTTAATACTGGAATGGAATTATTGATAACTTGTGATTTTAACAAATTATAAATGTTTTATGAACCTATATACATATGGTCTCATTGAAGATAAAATGTAAAACTAAATTGTTATTAAATATAAAAAATATTTTTCTTTATGTTTTAATTTATGTGACACATTTTGAATTTCGATATTTAAATAAGTTTATTTTTAATCGTAAATTTTTTATATATCTTTTAAATATTTGGAATTATCAATTATTATGAGTTATTGTACTTTTTACATAATTAACAAATATATAAATTTCATTTTAATAAATTTATAGATTTCATAAGCAAATTATCGGCCAAACTTAAGCTGCTTGAATCTCGAAAAATAAAATCTATCACATAAATTGAAACAAAAAAAATATTAATTTTTGATCGACTGAAAAAGTATACATATATAAATAATATATATAGAGAGATATATTTGTATTAATTATTCTTGCATTAATTAGATAGAGATTATTTCTTATGTACCCTTTAGTCTTCATGAAATAAGGAGAATAATGATTGCAAAAAAAAAGGACGAGCCTATAGCGCCGACCGTAGTGGCAGATGGTTGGGACCAGCCAGTATTTCGTCAACGTTTTTTTTTTTTGGACTAACTAGTTGATAGGTCCGACATATTTAATGTATTTTTATAAGTAAAATTTTTAAAATATAAATATAAAAGCGAAAAAATTGAATGCAAAAGACGGTTTCAATTAGATCTTATTTTTTACTAAGTTAAAATAAGTCTGCAAAGAATTTACAATTTCTCATATTACATTTTCTACCTTCTTCTCAATTCTATATACTTAGAATCGTTTGATTGGGAACAAGTTATCTCATTAATAATTATTTTAAAATAAATTATTCTGAAATAAGTTATTCTATCATAAAAATAGGATAACTTATTCATTACTAAGGTATAAATAATGTGATAAATAATTCTAAAATTATTTAATACCTCTAACCAAACATAAAATAAAATAATCCTACAATTTATACCTAAAACTTTATATCTTATACTTCACATCAAACTATTCATAAATCTCCTATCCTATGTCAACTATAATAACACCAGTCAAGCTATTAGAGGCCATCATTGAAACTAGCATTAGATTCTCTTGGATTATAATATAATGTTTTTACGTGCCAAGGAAAAGTAGGAAAACGCCAAAATCATTTTCAAATAATATTTTACCTACCGACACTTATAGGATACAGAAAGGACACAAAAATCAATACGAAATAAATTGTGCTTAGAATATGAACAGAATTGGAGGCATTTGGCCCTATCTTTTCATAATTTCAAAATTTTTAAGAATTTTGAAAAATAATAAAAAGATATTTTTTAATTTAAAATTACTCACAGAAAGTCAAAAACAACTACTCACAAAAAGTCAAAAAGATATTTTTCATTTTGAAAATATTTTTTTTAAAAAAATTCACAATAAAACATGATCAAAAATACGTATAAACAAACCCATGAAAAGTAATTTTCAATCACGATTGTTACATTAAATCAGAGCAATTCATATGTCATCGTCTGAAACTTGATGTATATTTTAATCTTACACTATAGGGTCGTTTGATAGAGTGTAAAAAATATTGCTTAAAATAAAATGTGTAAGTAATGCTTGCATTAGCGATACATGTATTAGTTATACCTTGCATTAATTATACATAGAGTATTTTTATGCCTTGTTTGATTTGATGCATTAAAAATAACAGGCATTGCATAAAAAAAATATTTACGTACAAAGACACTCTCCATTATTATGGTGGAAAAAATGTAAAAAAAAAGATTTTGAGGGGCAATTGGGTTTTTAATCATGCTAATGCATGCATTAAAATCACTACATTGCTAATTAATATCTAGAAATCGATGATATTAGTAATACACATCTTAATACACAATAGAATATATAACTAACGATTGCATTAGTTATACTTAGGTTGAAAAAGAATACCAAACAAGGTACTAGTAATACACAAGTCTAATGCATGCATTATTTTTCCTAATACACTCTACCAAATATATGGAAGAAACTAGATTAAAAGTAATTGTTAAAATTATTGTATCCTGTTTGATAAATAGAGACATAAATAGAGAAGCAAACTTTCTTTTAAGGGAAAAAGAACAAATATACTCTTGAACTATTATAAATGGTATCTAAATACCCTTCGTTATATTTTTAGGACACTGATATCCTTGCCGTCTAAATTTTAGAGTGTATATACCCTTTGGACTAACGGAGGGACACGTGTCTCTATCCAAATGATTTTCTGAATTTAATTTAATTTTAGTATTTTACCTTTAGAACAAAATCACAACTCAAATGTTATTGAAGTTTTCAAACAAAAAATTAAATAGCAGAAGCCTAACGAAGACCATAAGACCGTTGAGAATTTCGGAATGAGGTTCTACTTCGATCTCTTCTTATCTTTTGATGCTTCCTCTTGAACCTCCTCGTACGCTTCTTCTTCCACTTAGCTTTCATCCCGAATAGGTGAATATTGAATAGTAAACTGAGAATATTCCGGCGTGCTAACAAGCTATAAACTCATATCATCTTAACAAGATTTGGACTTTGGAATGTTAGTGTGAGGAGGCATGATAAAGTGTCTTTTGGGTGATTTGGGGTTATAATTGGGTTAGGATATTTTAGGTTGGGTAAAATGGTGGAAATTGGGTGGGTTTTTTTTTAAATTGTGAATATAAATTAAATTAAATATGGTTTTATTGTTTAGATAGTGCCACGTGTCCATTCGTTAGATTCAAGGATATACACAACCCAAAAGAATGGCGGTAAAGGTATATACAACCTTAAAATATAATGGAGGATATTGACATATCATTTTTTATTGTTAATTCGGGGGTATATCTGTCCATTTTCCCTTCTTTTAAATGAAAAATGCAAGAATTATTATGTTCTTAATAAAAGCTTTGAACATTAATGTAGAAATAATTATCATGCAATTCATTATTAGAAAATAAGAAATTAGTGACGGATAAAATTTAATAACTTAACAACAAAAATTTCATGCTAATGCCATTTAACTACATATTATATTGTACACGAATTCAACTGAGTTGGATCAAGTAACTTATGAATATCAAAAAGTTAAGTAATATGCATTATTATAATGTTGTTCCTAACTTTTAATTTATGTCATGATGTGATTATGTAGAATTTGTACTTGGACATGAAGATGAGGATAGAGAATGTTGTTGAGAGAGGTGAGGTTGTTGATGAGTGTATTAGTGACCCACAACAACGTCAAGCTTTTAGCAAATGGACCAAAGGATTCACTCCCAAAGACCATCCTGCTATAATCCAGGTTGCTTTGGCTTTTTGGTATTTGATATCATAAGTGGTTTATTGTGTTTAGGTGATTCCACCTTGTTGTTATTATTATGATTCCTTGTATATATACATATATCTATTTCGAATTACTTTGCTATTAGTTGTCATGTTTTCCCCACTATCATTCTCCTCCCCTCCCCTCTTCGTATAATTATTGTTTTTATTTGCTTGAATCGATGGTCTTTCAGAAATAGCTTCTCTACCTCAAAGGGATAATAATAAGGCTTGCGTACACTTCATCTTCTCCAAATCTCATTTTCTATTACGAGACTTCACTGAATATGTCTTTGTGTGAGATTATGTGGCACTATATATTGTTGTTGATGCATATTTGATATCATATGTGGTTAACTGTGTTTAAGTGATCCCACATTGTTGTTATTACTATGGTTCCTTGCATATATATTTCGTACTACTTTACTATTAGTTGCCATGTTTTTTCCATTATCATTCTCCTCATTCCCTCCCCTCCTCATATAATTATTGTTTTGATTTGCTTGAATCGATGGTTCTTTAGAAATATCTTTTCTATCTCAAAGAGATAATATTAAGGCTTGCGTACGTACACTTTATGTTCTTCAAACCCCACTTTATATTATGCGATTTCACTGAATATGTTGTTGTATCAGATTATGTGGCACTATATATTGTTGTTGATGCACATAAAATTGAACTTTTTAGTTTCAAATCATGTGGCACTCAACCATGCACCAACACAAGGTGCAATTTGTGCTTAGGAAGCCAATAATCAATTTGGCACATAGTTTACCAGCTAACATAACAATAATGTGTAGCACAATCTTTCGTAAATATCACAATCCTTCATTTCTTATTCATACCTTTTAAAACCCAACATAATGTAAATCTAGAGGGGTGGACCTTACTATTAAATGAGGTGGACCTAGTCCTTTTTAAGTAGGGACAAGAAAAATCTTGTTTATGACTTTTGCTACTCTTTTAAACAGGTATTATTGGAAAGTGACAAAGATAAAGACATCAAAGGTTACTCAATTCCAAATCTCATTTATGTATCTAGAGAGAAAAGCACAACCTCACTTCATCATTTCAAGGCTGGGGCACTCAATGCTTTGGTAAGAAACAAAGGAAAAGCCCATTTTTATTTGTAGCATTGTGATAATTGATACTCGTTTGTTCTTGAGTTGTTGAGATATTTTTCATGAGGTTTTTAATTACTTTACATTTTCTAGGAGAATAGTTTGGAAATAATCAAACGGGTAAAAATGAAAAGTAGCCTTTAATTTATGTACTTGAATATTTTTCTTAAGGAGTGTATCATACCCCCAACCAGGGGCGAAGCTAGCTTGAGACCAGGGGTTCATCCGAACCAGCTTCTTTGACGAAAATTACACTATTTCTATATGGTTAAAATTATTTTCGTTACAACAAAAACACCTTTTAGTGGTAATAAATATATAGATTAACAAAGAGTGCTAAAACTTTTACCAGCATTAGTTAATTGACATTAGATCTAAAGTCACTAAAGGCTTTAAGGACATATACAAAGAGTACTAATTGCCGCTAAAAGTACATATTTAGTGACAATTAAGTTATTGCCGTTAATTAATTGCCACTGAAGATCATTTTTGATTTAGTGTTTTCATGTATATATAGTAGATGTCGAACCCCCTTTCAACTGGTTCACGTGTTTATTTCTTCAGATTTTGAATCTTCTTAATGAAAATTCTGACTTCGCTACTACCCCCAACAATTTACTTAATATGAACTAGATGGAATACTCACTGAAAGAAAACATGCATTGTTAGTCACCACCGTCTCAAATTAGTTGTCATATTTCACGTCACCATATAATAAATTGATGTACTATGATCTTGATTTTGTTTTTCTTCAATCATTCAGCTCAGAGTCTCAGAAGCAATGACAAATGCACCAATAATTCTGACTCTTGATTGTGACATGTACTCAAATGATCCTCAAACGCTTCAGCGAGTCCTTTGTTACTTTTGTGATCCTTCAATTAGGTCTAAATTAGGGTATGTTCAATTCCCCCAACGATATCATGGACTCAATGACGATGATTTATATGGAGGTGATAATGTACGTACATTCCGAATTTCACCTTCAGGCTTGGATGGTCTTGGTGGCCCTGATAACTGTGGAACTGGCTGTTTTTTCAATCGTCGTGCTCTTTTTGGTAGCCCATCATCAGTTACATCACTAGAACACTCTGGAGATAGTATGGCTATCTCCAGTGTGTCAGTCGTTGAGATAGCTAGTCATGTTGCTAGCTGCAACTACGAGTACAACAACACCGAGTGGGGTACCAAGGTAAGCTTTCTAAATAACAAACAAAATGCATTGTGTATGTTCTCATCAATTTGTTTGAGTTGATTTCTGAGATGATCACTCAACTTACGACAGAATAAAAACTATTTTAGTTCAAAAATTCAAATGTAATGGACTATTTTGAACCTTTTCTAATGACAATTGAACGTACGTTTGAATTTTCAGGTGGGGATCAAGTATGGAACACTTGTAGAAGACATATACACAGGTTATATGATGCATTGTGAAGGGTGGGATTCAATATTTTGCGATACTGAAAGGCCTGCATTTTTAGGTGAAGTACCGATTAATTTAGAAGATGTACTAAGCCAGGTTAAAAGATGGGCTTTTGGACACCTTGAAGTTTTGTCCTGTAAATACAGTCCATTGACATTTGGAACCAAAGCTCTGGGAATTTTGAGGGCTAGTTGCTACATACATTATGTTTTCTGGCCATTTTGGTGCATACCGGTCACTCTATATGCCTCCGTTCCACAACTAAGTCTCCTCAACAATATTTCCATCTTTCCCAAGGTACAAAATCTGAATTCTCGTAGCCTGTTTGGTCAAACTTTCGAAATCTGCTTATTTTAGAAAGTGTTTGTTTGTAAGAAGTGCTTTTGGAAAAATACTTTTAGAGCGTAATAGTTTGTGTTTGACTAATCAGTATGAAAAGACACTTTCGTTACTAATAAAGCAGTAAGTTGTGTTTGACCAAGGTTCCAAAAGTACTTTTGAGAAAAAAACTACTTCGTCAAGTTTCTCAAAAACTACTTTTGCTACTACTCGAAAGTATTTATTTTTCCCCTTAAAGCATGGACAAACACCGTAACTTTTTAAAATAAGCACTTTTAACTTTGCAGAAGCTTGACCTAACACGCTATCCTAGTTTCCTCTATATGCTCATTTCATTCATTGGAACTTGTGACAGGTTTCTGATCCATGGTTCATCTTGTATGTCTTCCTATTCTTTGGTGCCTATGCACATGATTTTATACAATTCATATTGTTCAAAGGTACAACGAAAAGGTGGTGGAACGACCAAAGAATGTGGTACGTGAAGGCATTGTCACCTTTTCTTTTCGCCTCAATAGAGTACCTAACGAAAAAGTTAGGCATCACGACAAAAGGATTCAACGTTACAAGCAAAGTAGTAGGGCAGGATGAAAGAAAAATGTATGATCAAAGCGTCTTCACATTTGGAATTCCTTCACCTATGTTTGTGCCATTAGCAACAGTATCGATCATCAATCTGATCGCATTTGTCCGAGGAATCGTGACAGTAATCTTTAGGATGGAAAGTTTAGACGAGTTATTCATCCAACTATTCATTGCTGGATTTGCAGTTGTCAATTGCTTGCCGATTTACGAGGCAATGCTACTTAGATCTGATCATGGCAAAATGCCTGAGAGGATAGTTATTACTTCCTCTGTTCTTGCTGGGGTGCTCTGCATTGCATTTTCCTTAATTGTAAGTTGAAATTCCCTTAGTTGTAAAAATAATGCCAACAAATTTAGTTTTCTTTAAAATAATATAAAAAAAACCACCATGTTGGTGTGGGTGGGGGTTAGGCAATAGCCCAACCCGTAGATAATAAAAAGAAGATGAGTACACTGAGGAGGACATAAACCTTACCCTCCAAAACATGATGAAGAATATATAATTGTGTACACATGATAAAAAAGAGGCTGTCTAACCTTGGAGGACATCTCAATTATTATTCTTGTAAACTGATTCAAATAATGACTTACTTAGGTAAAAAAATCGAATTACTTTTACTATGATCAACCATGTTTAAGTTTAACCGTCCTTCCTCAAGTTTATTCCACCTTACCTACTGACTGCAAAATGCATACCATGGCTGAGGTAAAGTTACTTTGGGAAATTGAGTATTTGATAGGATATACTTACATACCTGTTGAATAATATACTTGCGAAATATGTGAGCATTTTTGTAAAGGCTTATCACAAAGCTGACAAGTAACATGAGGACGATTCCAGTGGAGCACCGAAATTGTTAGCAGCAGGTCTATCCGTAGGCTTGGAGTTGTTTCCCGGATGCAAAGCATTATTGGGTCGAGACCAGTTGTTATGAGGTGATGGTTTGACAACAAAATTTGTTGTAATTGAAATTGTGGTAGAGGAAGATGAGCGAATGAGATTCTACTCAAAATCAAGGAGCTAGCTTCTCATGAAGCTCTTCAAATGTCACTGGAGTTTTTCGGGCACGTAAAACTGCAGTGATAGTGTCATATTCGGTTGAAAGTCCATGAAGGAATAGCTCATCCGTTGAAATTTGAATTCCAGCAGGCTAAAGTGTTGCTGATATGTTTGATCTTCTGCAGATATGAAGTAACAGAGAGGTTACCCTTTTTCATGTTGCTTAAAAACTCTCTAAGACTCATTATACGATGGCTTCGCATAGCTTGCTGCTAGATTTTGCCAAAGAGCACATGAAGATTTGTCATTAATGACAAAGGGAACAATATCAAAAGATAGAAAGACAACAATGGCACTTCATAATATCAGTTAAGAGATATCACTAATAGATGGCGCTGCTTGTTATGATAGTGGAGATGATTGCCTGCAGTACTGACTGTGGAGGTTGTTGAGATGACAACAAATTGTGACGATAAGCGACATTAGTATTAGTGATGGTTGTTTGTGGTGATTATGATACTAATGGTGGTTCGTGGTTGGCAACCATAATGATGGTTGACAATAATAGTGATGGTGAAAAAAATATTTATACAAAATATCTTTTTGATGATATTAAGACTTGTTCAAAATCTTGGATCCGGCTCCCCTCCATTACTCTTTCCCTCCATTTCGTCAATTGCACGCCTAGATTAGAGACATGTGTCATATTTAAAGTTTAAAGGTCAAGATTATATCATATGAATAAATATCATAACCATAGTTAAGTCAACTAATTTTAGAAAATTACTCTCCAAATTTGGTAAGAATTACAATATATTCAATACAAAATTGATATTTATTAATATCTTTAATTTACAATTTAATATTTAAATACAAAAATATAATATGAAATTAATGATTATAACTCAAAAGTCACTCAACTATTGATATTTTACTTAAAAAGTCACTCAATCAATTTAAATGTTTTTTTTATTGAAATCTAATTTTATTTTAAACTATTTTTACTATAAGAGATAAGAAGATATCTATTTTATTTATCTTACTAATCCACTCCAATTATTTAATTATATATATTTTTTGAAAAACGTACTGTAGCAATAGACAAAAAAAATCATTTTCCGTTCTAGCAATTGTTTAGTAGAATTAAATAAGCTGAAAATGATCCCAAAAAAAGGAGAACATTGGAATTGATCAGAAGTAATTAAGAAGTAATCAAAAGAACGTACATTAGCAATCTTTTATCATTTAAAAATAATTGGTTTAAAACTAAAAAATTACAATTTAATATTTAAATACAAAAATATAATATGAAATTAATGATATTAATAAATATCAAATTTTGTATAGAATATATTGTAATCCTTACCAAATTTGGTTGACTTAACTATGGTTATGATATTTGTTAATATAATATAATCTTGACCTTTAAACTTTAAATATGACACATGTCTCTAATCTAGACGTGCATTTGACGAAATGGAGGGAAGATATAGTGGAGGGGAGCCGAATCCCAAAATCTTAATCATTAAAACTTGTATAAATTAAATAATATAAAAAATTTAGTATAAATAAATATATTAATAATCTAAAATTTAATTTATTCAAATTCACACCTCCACGGCTCAACTAAATACAAATAAATGATGCCTAAATTGTTTAGCGTAGGAAATCTCTTATATTGCAAGAGAAATATTTTAAAAAGACTACAAAGCTTTTGTCAAATTTAAAACATTCAGTAGATTGCACGCAACAACTCTTGTTTCCTAAAAAAAATTAAGACTATTGGGAAAAAAAATTTATTGATAGTTTGTCCAAATATGCTTTTATGGTTAATAGTTTAGCTTAAAGATGTGAGTATTATCTTTAATTAGGTAAAAAAATGTATTTGTTTTTCCTAATAAACATATCATTATTTTTAACACATTTTTTTTCTAATAAAAATATTATTTTAAAGAATATTTTCTTGTTTCTTTTTTTCTCCAAGTCCTTTTAAATAATAAAAAAGTGGGAAGTAATCTTTTTTTCTTATATAGTCTTTTAATTGATAATATATAGGCCTCACATTAGGAAATAAAAATATTTTTAATTTTATTAAGAATTTTTGTTATTGTTACTCTAAATGAAATATTAATGATAAACTATTGTGTTCTTATATATATAACCTATATTATCGATTAATACATGTGATTATTTTATTTTAATTGATAAAATACATTAACAAAAAAGATTATTTTATACTTTTTTATTAGTTAAAGAGATTTTAAAAAATTAATAATAATAAAAAATATTATTTTTAAATATTATTTTTATTAGAAGAAGAATGTGTTTAAAAAACCATATCATATTTTTATTAGAAGAAGAATGTGTCTTAAAAATATATATAAAACAAAAGAAACAATTGCGCCATTTTTGGATTAAAATATTAACAATATAATATTTTTCGATCAAATTATTAACATAGGACCTTTTTATTCAATTTCATGTAGTTTAGCACTTTTATTTATTGTACCGTGAAATATCATTTTCACTTCTAGTTGTAAAATCCTTTTCTTTCACAAAAAAGAGGTGTCCGAATCAATTAACATCCGCTGAACAATTCCAAATAGATACATATTAATTTAATCTTATCAACATATATCAAATAATATTATCTAAAATTTAAATAAGTTATTTTTTTTTTACCTAATACTTTTTATATTTTTGTTTGAAAGCTACCTACTCAAGTGGATCCAAGATGAAAAGGTAATCAACTTTTGCCGACATCTAATAAAATGAATAACGTCTAAAATAATTCACCTCCATATAATTATAAAAAAAATAGGTATAATCACAAAGAAAACTTCAAAAATAATCATAACCATCTATGAATTATATACTAATAAATAATACTGAAATACTACTAAAGGAAAAAGAATGTAGACATCAAATAACTAAAACCATTTGCATACTAAACTTCTTAACCAATCTCCTCAATTTTTAATATCCTGTTGGAAACTTGCAACTGCCATATTCTGCAATAAGAAAACAAAATTAATATTTAGTAAATTACAAAAAAATACTCCCTCTGTCCCAATTTATATGACTCACTTTCCTTTTTAGTCAGTCCCAAAAAGAATGACACATTTTTATATAAAGTAACAATCTAACTATAAAATATCTATTTTACCCTTAATGATATGATTTACAGCCACACAAATTTCTATCATTCATTTTGGACCACAAGTTTTACAAGTCTTCCTTTCTTTTCTAAACTCCGTGTCGAATCAAAGTATCTCATATTAAATAAGACGGAGAAAGTAATTATTTAGCTTCTAAAATAAAAACGAAATATTACGAAGCCACCTATTTTATTGAGCCGCGTCTATGAATACTTACTTGGATGTTGAGTGACGACGTAAGCTGCTCCTTTGAAATCGCACGTGCCAGTCCCACGTGCTTTCTTTTGATAATAACTATTGAACGCATAAGAAGCATGTGCCGCAAGTGTATCAGGATTATGACACGTGGCACCCGGCTGAATCGGACGGCAATCAGCTCCTCCTTCTCCACAAGCATAGTCCAACGCCGCTTGCAGCTGCTCCGTCCCAGCTTTCTCATTCGCCACACACCACGTGTTCACCACCTTACTCTCCTCCACACCGCCGCCAACAACCGACGCCGGAGACGGTACCGGAGTCTTCACCACCTGGCTTTTACTTCCATTATTAGGATCGGCCTCTAAACCTTCTCGGATAAGCGTAATATCGTAAACCTTTTCTTTACTAGGATAGAAAAGCCCGTAGTTCCGTTCTGAAACGGGCCCGGGCTTTTGATTCTCATTGAACAAAGCGAATAAATAGACGTTAAGAGGTTCATCGGGCTTTAAAGGGGTCCCACTTCCAGTAAGCACTCTTTTTACCAGATTACCGTTGTAAGCAGCAGCATTGTCAGCACTTGCACCAGTCTCGTTTTCATCGCCTTTTGAAGGCCATCCAGTTTCAGTAATCTCCATTTTCACATCATCGAAATTCAAAGCTTTCATTGCAGCATAAACAGCATCAATCTGAGCTTCGAAAAGGCTTTTATAAACAAGTCCATTATTTGGGTCAGTTACACCTTTATTATCCCTAAACAAAGCATAATCCAAAGAAATCGTATCCGTATTCGCTACATAAGCAAAAAATGGATAAATATTAACAGCTAAGAAAGAACCCGATTGCTTGAGGAAACTCAACATCGGTTTAATAACCGGTTCGATTAGATCCGTTTTGAATGAACCAGAAGATGAAGGATAGGAATTTTGCAGAGCACTGAGAGCAACAGGGGATGAAACTTTGATAGACGAAGCGACGCCGTATTTAACAAGAGATGCGTAAACATTTTTCATGGCGGGTACTAGAAATTTGGTTGTATTTTTTGGATCTACAAAAACCTCATTTCCAACAGCTATAGATTCTATATTTGTTTTTGGATAATAACGAATAATATTCGATTGAACCCATGAATCAGTAAAAGACTGCTTCGAGGCTGCATCAGAGAGTTGCTCGTTAGGAAGTGCAACAGTAACTGATATATTGGATCCAGAAAGAGCTGTAAGAACAGCGGAATCAGTATCGTAAAGCTTTACGCGATTAATGCCTTGAGATTTGAGGAGCTGAACAACTTCTTCTGGAGTCGGAAGATTATTAGCAATACGGCCATAATTGACACCAATAGAACCGGAATTTGCATAAGAGAGCAAAGAGAGAAGAACGAAGAGGGAAGTTAATGTAGTAAAAGAGGCCATTGCTGTGGATGTAAGGAGAAAAGAGAGCAATGAGAAAGAAAGAGGATATTTGTGTATTTGGTGATTATGGTTGAGTTTATATAGAGAAAAAGAAGTGAAAGACTTGGCAGTAAGGAAGAAAGAGTCGTGCATGTTGTTAATGGGGGTAGAGGGGATGTTAGTGGTTAAAAATAAAGGGAGTGGGTTTGAAAAAATTAACAAATGTGGTGAAAGTGGGGTCACCTATAAAACTTCATTAATTTTGCATTAAGTATTTAATAAAGTTATTATGTAAGATAATAAGGATTTTATTAACCTTATGAGGTTAGATAATATTTTTATTAAATATGTTTTTTATTATTATTCTTAACTTAAGTTTTATGCTAGATCTCATCTATTACTTTCTAATAACTTGTGGAATGGATGGATAAGGCAATGTATTTTTACTAAATTAATTTTATTAATAATATTTTTATATTTTTAATTTAATTAGTATTTTCTCTATCTAATAATAATTTTTACTATCGACTTTACACACTTCTTAAGAAATTATAAATGGAATGATAATTTACTTATGACCTTTTGAATATAATATTATATACAATGTCTTGAAAAATGTAATAGGAAAATGATTACTCCATTCATTTCAAATTCATTGAGTTGTTGATGTGTTTCACACCCTTTAAGAAAAAAAGATTAAGACATAAATTAGGCATAACTTTTCATTTTTACCCTTATTAATGATTGTCAAATTTATGATTAAAATAACTAAATATTGATAAATAACTAATTTGAATACTAACTAATGAAGGGTGAAATTGGAAGA